GTCAATGAAGAGTGGATCCTGCCCTGACTTCCCAGATGTCAGAGTGCTGGGTCCCTAACCCCTTCCAGCTGAAAGGTAAATTAACAATGCCTGCCATTGCCTATGATTGGAACAGAAAGGCTGTGTCAGCATTCCAAATGGGGCAGCTGATGACTTGGTAGTTAAATACTCAAAACAGCTTTCCTGAAAATGGAATATTAAGACCATGATTTTTCCCTCCCAGGTGCCATTTCTTATCACCTGGTTGGCTGGAAGCCAGATGGTTTTAAACACTAAGACTTTGTAAACTACTTGGAGTCAACTCTTTGAAAACAGCACTGATGTTTGTACAAAGTCATGTTGCCTCTTGGGTATAAAAGCTTAAACATTCTTGGCTTTCCAAGCAGCCAAGTTACTCTTAGTCCAAGGAGGTAGGTACACTGTATTAATTTCCCAGAGGAAAACAAAAAAAGATCATTTCCCTTCTTTCAGCATGTTTCAGTGGTAACTTTTAACAGGTGGACTGAAAGATTAAGTGACTTGTTCATACCATAGAAAGAGGACTAAAGCCCAGCTTTTCTGATGCTTAGCTGCTAATCAGAGTAAGGAAGACTAGATTCCATGGATCTTCTTTTACTAACCCTCCCAAAGTGTAAAGGCTGATGTGGTATTTTGAAATGATTTTATGACAGACTGTACATTTTTGAATAGAATTTATAACTAGTGATCATATTTAGTTGTTAATGTTATTACTTAGTATAATTATTTAAGCATCAAACACAAGGACTGTAAGTGATCATCACATGAACTATTTTACAAATGATTTGGCTTTTTTTTTACAATATAAATAGCTAGTTTTTATATACCCAATGAGTATAAATCTGACTCTATCAGTTGGTCAAAATAAATATGGTTCAGATATTAAAACTCACTTGGAATCACAGACAGATGTCATGTGCTTAATGCACTAAAAATATTCCTGAAAAGTTTCACAAAAACCAAGTTTTTAAAAATGGAGTTATGATTTATAAATACTAGGGAAACTAGCTACGTGAAGAGCTACCCTGATCATTTTGTGAATCAGACGAACCATTTTGTGAATCAATCTTCATTTTTTAAATTATATCTTCTCATTCTTTCAGAATAGGTTTGAGGCATCCTACAAAGCATATTTTATCAATTTGAATTTTTGTATTTGGGTTTGTAAAAACTGGTAGACTGAGCATGCAAACACATTAATAAAAATGTTTTAAAAATTTTCACTTTAATTTCTGTAAAGTTTTAACAATGTCTAAAATGAAATTTGAAAGGTTAAAAAAGTTTTACCATTTATGCCAAAGAATACTATTACTAGCAGAAATTTACCTTTAACTGTTTATCAATTTATAGTTGTAGGATTTTAGTTCCCTCCATTAAAAAAAAAAAGTGTGTCCTAGATTATAGCATCTGCTGCATTTGCTGTTTCAGGCATCCTATTACAGATGATTATAGAGATATTCGTAAATACTCTGCTATTTTCAGGTCAGTTTGAGAATTTTTATTTTTTATTTTATTTTAGAAAACAGACTTGTGGATATGTTTACATACAGTATTTAAATTTATGCTGAATGTACTGTTTGTATAAATGAGTGGATCCAGATCCATCTACTTCTCTGGAAATTTCTAAAAACAAAGCAAAACTAGGAAGAAGGCAACAACTTAAGCAGTAAGTAAAAATTAGAATTAAATACATTAATTATGGTAAGATAAGTTATAAACATTAATGGGACAAAACTGCTTGTCTTTGAAGTCTTTGCATATACATATTCCTATTACATCGGAAGGTTTTTAATGAATTGTTTTCTAATTTCTCTCATTGAATGCATATGTTAATGTGCTATGGATTATAATGAATTTTATTAAATACATAATAGCTGTAATATGGGAAAATTTATGTTTTATAGAAACTTTGAACAAAAGGGACACTTTAATGCCACCAACACATTTTATTGTGTGCAATGCATGCATTTTATATAAGGTTTGCCACAGAAATAATAAAAGTAACAAAAGTGTGCTGAAAATTACTTTGGTGGGGGGTGTAAAGGCATAATCCTTTCATTCGTGCTTTAAAATGGTTAGCTCTCCACTATAGTGTTGCTTTTTCCTTTTAGTTCTTTTTGACCTTTTAGATCCTTCCACCCTTCTGTCTTTCCCAGCCCGGTAAGCAGGTGTGGGAGGAAATTGGTTTCTTTGTGAACTCTCCTTCCAGCCACAATCATCTCAGATTCACTCCATTCTCAAGATCCTGTGCTGAGCTTTGTGTCTGGATGAAAAACCTCAACACATTGAGAAATTTAATACTGCATTTTCATATGCTTAAATCTAATTTACCTTTTTAAAAAAAGTTTGCATATTTCTTCCCTCTTAAGGCCCACACATACACACAATGTGGAAAATCCCTGGAGGAAGAATGGAGAGACAGGTGCTTTGGAGCTTTCTTGGGGGCATTGAAGTTGACTTATGTTTCTCTCTTTTTTTCCCCCTAAGCTTTAGAAATGTGAAATCTGGCAGAGAAACCTGCTCTGCGTGGAAGGTGGACTCAGTGACCTCTAAGCTGGCAAGCCTACCCCCTCACCACTAACCACCCCCACCTTCCTTTCTGAGATGAAACTTCGAAGATTTTTTTTTCTTCAGGAGGCTGTGACTGCAAACTACGAATAAGAGAATCATCTCCACTACTCCCTGACCCTAACTCAGTGGATCTCTGGCCAAAGCAGAAGAGACACACCTGAGGGGAGGGTGGTCACTCTGAGCACACAGCTTCAAGGACGTTCTGTTCAAATAGAAAGTTTCTAGATTGCAGCTAAAACTTTCACGCACCCAGATGTTTACAGTTTGAAAGGCTTCCTTCCTGATATTTTTGGCAACAAAGGAGACAATCATTTCCCCTGAGAGCACTTGGAATTAGCAAAATAAACGTGCTGTGCACATCCGAGTCTCTCAAGTTTTTCACGTTTTCACTGGGAGGACGGAGGGTACGGACGGACGGCCAGACTTCAGGGATTGAACTCTTAAAGTCTTTGTGTCCATAAAACCTGGGTAATCGTTCCACATATCACTGTGGACTCATTTCTTTTCATTTCTTAAACAAGAAAGAAGAAAGAAAGAAAGAAAGAAAAAGATTCCCGGTCGTCTAGGCAAGTTGCAAGAACTGATTAACGCCCAAGAACGCGTGCAGATCAGCAGACTCAAGGCGGTGTGGACGCCAAGCGCGGTGGAGCAAGCCCGGAGGCGCCCCAGAAGTGTCGTCTCCCTGAGCGACGGTGTGCACCTTTCGAATTAACAAACAGCCCTTAGTTCCACATGGGTTTCTCCCACCGCATCCCTCCTCTCTGAGCCCCTGGCCACCCTCACCTTCTCTTCTCCTCCCACCCCCCAGGGCCAAATACCCCTTCCATCAGGTGGGGTCGAGGGGTGTCTGCTCTTCGGGAAGGAGCGCGCAAGGGTTAATGGTGAGAGTCGGCGGCCAGGTGGGGCGCCCGCACCCGCCCCCGGCCACGGTGGGCTTCGGAGGCGAGGGGGCGCTGTTCGGGCAGCAGCGCGCCGGGCGGCGGGCGGGAGAGCTGCCAGGCTGAGGGAGAGGCCGGCCCGAGTGGGGGCCGCTCCGCCGCCGCCGCCGCCGCCGCCGCCGCTGTGATGCGGAGCCCGTGCTGCGCCGGGCGGTGGAGTCAGAGCCCGGGCGCGGGAGCACGAGCTGCAACATCAGCACCGGCGGCGGCGGCGGCGGCGGCGGCGGCGGCACCAGCACCAGCTCCCGGGCCCCGCGCTGCGCTCTCCGCCCCGCCGCGCCCGGGGCCGCCGCCCCGCACTCTCTATGGATGTCAAGGCGGCTCCCAACGGGGTGGCCACTATCGAGGACCGGATCCTGAGGATCACCGGCTACTATGGCTATTACCCGGGTTACTCCAGCCAGAAAAGTAAGACGCCGCGGGGCTGCCCTGCGCGGGGCGCGGAAGGGAGGTGGGCGCGCAGGGGTGCCGCGGGGATGCGGTCGGGCGGTCCGGACACCTGCAGCCCTGCCTGCGCTGTGAACGCCACCCTCCCGGCCTGGGGGACCACTGGGGCAAAAAGTGTGCCCGCTGTCCTCGGTGCTGAACCGTGAAAGAGCGAGAGGGCCCCTGCCGGTTGCGCCCAGGAGTTTGGAAACAGTCGCAGCCTTGGGGGCGGAGGTGCGGAGGGGACAGGGAGAGCGCTCCTGACGGCCAGCTCACCCCTGGCTGATTTACGCCTGGAGAAGGCTAACATGGCTGTTCACTTAGCGGAAAGTCAGCCCTAGGGGCTACACGCCCCCAAAGCCCCTACTGAGTGCCAGGCTGCGTTTGGGGCGCTGGGGACGCAGGCTGGGGAGCCTCGGGGCTGGGGCTGGCGGGGGCCGCCGACCCAGTGGTGGGTCCCAGCGCTGGCTGGGTCAGCGTGTTCACTCGAGGCTGTTGAGACGTTGCCAGCGCGGGAATTACTCCTGTTAAAACGTTGGGAGGTTCTCCACCCTGGGCAGGGAAAAGAACCTGCTCACGTCTCCGAGTCCCAGCAATTGGAGCCAGAGACCCGTGCAAAGGACGAGGGGTGGGCGGGAGGGGGAGGCGCGACAGGGCCACCCGCCCCCGCCACTCGTCGCGGCCACCTCGGAGCCCGAGGAGGCTGTTCCGTTCCATACCGGCTTTCTTCTGGCTAAGCGAGGTCATGCGGTGCGGATGCTTTCATGTTTCTGGACCAGTTTTGGTGCGGAGGGCGATGAGGTGTGCGCTGCCCGTAGGCACCCTCCCCCAACACACAAACCCACTGGCTGTATTTGCTGGGATTAGTTCTGCCAGCGACTGAAGTGAAGCTCATTTTTTCTCTGAATGGGGGGCGGGGGCAGGGAGTTGGAAATAGCTAGCTGCGGTTTAATTTCCATGCAGGTGGGATTTTGCTTTTTCTTTATCAATGCATTTCTGTCGCCATAGATGGAGCTTAATTGATGTTTTTGCTGTTATTTTTACCAGAAGCCTTGGAAGCTCCTAGAAGCATTTCTGATTGGTATTTTTCTGTGACATTTCAGGGTGCAATCAATGTTTCTGTGAAGCAGGGGACTCACACAAATTCTGGCACATAGATAAGAAGACACTTTATTTTTCATGTAACTTTCCCCTCTACCATGTTCACTCTCTATTGAATAATAATTCAAGAGCTTTGTTCCATGGGCTGTTCTCATACAGATATTTTCTAGTTTAATATTTCATTTGATTTCAGGAAAGGCCTATCTGATTTGGATGGTTTTGGTCTAGCTGTTTTTAACATTAGAGGCTTACATTATTCATTTTCCATACAAAAGTAATTATATAGTGTTAGAATTTTCTGGAAAGAAAATAACACACTGTTGAAATGGTCTTTGAAGTCTTTGTATTAAAGACTCAAAAATTCTTTTTTTTTCCTATTGGCAAAAGATTTCTCTTTTAACCCTAGAAACTTAAGTGAAGGCACTAATATACCTTGTGGAAATTACTTGCATTTTACCTTTGAATATTTTAATTAGGAACCATGGGATTCTGGTCGCTTAGAGAATGTTGAAGCTGTCTGTGAAATTACAAGACTCAAGGTAGTTTATTGTTATAATTTTTATGACAATGGAACTTTGGTTAATAAAGAGCAGACCAAAAAGAATACTTAAAAAGTGACATTTTTAGATAAGGACATGTTCATATTGTATTTTTTACTTGCTCAAATAGCTGCACATGCTTCATTTGCAATACAATAACAGGACAAAAAAAAAAAAAAAAGGGAAGAGCATTGGCCAAGGCTGTAACTGGAGGCTTAAAGGGATAAAAAAGCATTTGGCATGGTTATTTGTGATGTGCATTTACCTAACTTCAGGCCGAAAAGTTTGGACAATGAAGGCAGAGAATCTCACAAGAACAGAGAATTAGATGATAGTCACATAACTCTCAGGATGTTCATGCTTTCAGAGGTAGAAAGAGATTGCCATTTTGCATAGTGAGAGATTGGGAGAGGGGAAAGCTGGAGGAGGGCCAAAGAACCAAGCACCATGAAATAAATCCTGTCCTAATGCAGCCTTCAACTAGTAAACAAACACATCGAAGCAAACCAGTACAATATGGTCAATTGATTTAGCTGTTACTGAGGATGGGCAAAAGCTTGAAGGAAGTCTGGAGAAATATATTTAAGAAAAAGCTACAATGATGACTATATATGTGAAGGCAATGTGACTTTTTCATTTTCTGACTGGTTACATATACAGCCTTAAGGATGGGGTGATCTCTTGATATTTGTGCCATTTACCTTTTTAGAAGTAGATGGAGACTCACCTCTGGGAAAATGCATCAAAGATCAGCCTTGTGTTAATGCATCCTGCTGTCATGCTTGTACCTTATCCAGAAAATTCTAGTAGTCAGGCTTATGTAAAATAGAAATGTAATAGGATTCAGGGAAATGAACGTATTTGTATGGGCTACTGGGCCATTTGGTTTATTTATCCTATTCAATTTAATGAACAGTTATTGAGCACAAATATATATAACAAATCAGGGTACACTATTAGAGCATAGTGACTAGCCTCCATTACTTAGGTAGGGGAAATAGATTAATTCACTCAACAAGTGTTAATTGAGCACCTTCTTTGTGCCAGGAATGTATCAGTGAATAAGACAGACAAAAGTATTTTCCTTTTTAGAGCTTAAGTTCTAGTAAGAGGAAACAAGACAATAAATAATGAACAAATAAATAAATTTGGTATATTTCCAGATAATAAGTGCTTTTTGAAAAATTACAAGACCAAAAAAAAAAAAAAGGATAGAATATTCTGGAGGGCAGTGATTGTCACAATTTTAAATAGAGTGGTCAGGTAGGGCCTCATTGAGTAAGTAACAATTGAGTAAAGACTTGGGGGAATGTGAGGGAGTTGGCCATGTGGACACTGGGAGGAAGACATTCCAGGCAATGGAAACAGCCAGTGCAAAGTTCTGGGGTTGAGTACACCTGGTATGCTACAGAAATAGCAAAGGGGCCTGCCTAGTGGAAGCAGAGTGACAACTGGGAGAATGGTTGGAGATGACATCACTGAGGATCCAGGAGCTCACATGAAGTAGGATCTTATAGGTCACTGTAGGTCCTTCAGCTTGTGTTCTGAATGAAGTGGGACACAACTGGGGGGTTTTTTAAAGAATAGTGATGTGACTTGACTTACCTTTCAAAAAGATCAATCTGACTGCTCTATTGGGGCAGGGGTGGATTCACCTAGTTAGTATGTTATTGCAATGATGGCTTGAACCAGAGTGATAGCAGTACATGTTGTGAAAGATGGTCATATTTTGGATATATTTTAAATTAGAGCCAATAGGATTTCCTGATTGGATTGGATATGGTATCTTTAAGAAAGAGAGGAGCAAAAAATGACTCCCTCTTTTCTAGTTTGACCAAGTTTGAGTTGCCATCAGCCAAAGTATGGAAGGATTCAAGGTAGAGAAGTTTGGAGCTGGGGAGAGTCAGGGGATAAGGATAACATTTTGGAAATGTTAAAAGTACTTGGAGATGTAGAGTAAGCTTGGAGTTCTGATTGGAGATATAAATTAGGGATTTTCCAGCATTTGGATGGTATTTAAAGCCTAAGACTGGATCTCCAAGGAGTGAATGTACATAGAGAAGAGAAGAACAAGGACTCAACCCTGAGACTCTCTGACATTAAGAGGTTGGGATAAGAGGAGAAACCATTGGAAGAGAACAAGCAGGAGCTCCCAGGGAGGTAGGAGAAAAACCAGGAACATGTGATACTCTGGAATCCAGGGAAGAAAGAGTCTCAGGGGAAAGGATTAGCTGAGTGCAATGCTATTGAAAGTTCAAGTAAAATGAAGACTGATAACTGACCACTGAGTTTGACAACTGAGGACCATTGGTAATCTTGACAAGAATATTGACAAGAGCAGGTAAGGGAGGATAAGATGTATTAGAATGTGTAAGAGAGAATTAGAGGGAGGAACTGGAAATTGTGAGTATAGATGACTATAAGGATTTTTGTGCAAACAGGAGCAGAGGAAATGGAGGCAATAGGGTCAAGAAAGTTTTTTCTTTGAAGATGGGAGAAATAACGTATTTGTCTACAAATGAGAATGATCCAATAGAGAAAGAAAAATTAATGAAGTTGAAGAGATAGGGTATGGAATCCAGGGCAGAAGAGAAGAGACATTGCTTTAGATAGGAACATGGATACAGGCCAAAGTGTGTGGGGCAGGTTCTGGAAGGTGCATAACTGAGATGGTGGAAGTCTGTTGAAGTTCTCTTCTGGCCACTTTCATTTTCTCCAAATAGGAAGCGAAGTCATCAGCTGAGAGTGGGAGAGGAGATAGTAGGGGCTGGAGAAGCAGAAGGTGTGAATAGTTAAAACAAATAGGGAGATTGAATGGACTGGGGAAGTACACTAAGGTTGTTCAGCAGCCTTAAGGATCCATTTAAAGTTTCTGGTCACAGATTCAAAATAAGGCCAGTCAGTAGGTTGTTTTATTTATCGACGCAGTGAAGGCATGGAGCAAGTGAAGAGAAGGATTTAACCAGCGTTGAAGATTATCCAACAGGTACAAAAAATTAATAGGGGCAAGGGAGTTGTATACAAGGAAGGCATTATTTTAATGATTGACGATGGAATTTAAACTTGGTAAGTAGAAAAGAGAGGACATCAAGATAATTAGGAACAGTGAAAAGGTGGCAGGTTCAATGGATTGGAGATCTCAGTAGGATCCAAGACTAGTAGAAGTTTACTGGAAAGATAGGAGGTGGTAATCAGAACAAGGATTGTATGCTATAAGAACTTATGCATTTCTGTAAGTCAAGTGAAAGGACAAATTAATTTATGTTTTATTGTAGTCCAGGATTGATATTTTAGGGGTGAGCCTTATTTTTTGTGTTTGTATAAGAAGGCAGTGTGTTGATG